TGATAGCGCAGGTAGCGGCTGACAGCATACTTCTTAGCTCCAGCCTCCTCCGTGTCGTACTTCTTTTGGAGTGCATCCCAGACCATCATTGCGGTGTTCTTGCTGTCCGCATAGTAGTCGTAGAGGTCGTCTGCCAGGCCGTTGAGGATGTAGCCCTTGCATAGGAAGTCATGCTCCCTTTCCTTAGCAGCAGCAGTCCTCTCCTCATCGGTCGCTTCTTCCGGCAGCTCGACGGGCATGCTAGTGAGGCAGTGTGCCAACTTCTTGGTCGTCAGGTAAAACTCCATCTTTTGTCTCCAGCGACGGAAGTTGACTCCAACGAAGCGAAACGGTCGATTGATATCGACAGCACCAGATCCGGCCATGTTGTTCTGTTCAGTCGACATAGCAGCAGCCGAACGTCTTAAAATTGTTAGAAACGGAACAACAACAAGATGAGGATACCGAATCTGGAGCTGAGTCGCGGACTAGGTCGCTTTCTTTAAGACGTTCGCGGCACTGCCCTCGATGCGCACGGCAGACTATCAACCGGTCGTCTCCAGGATAAAACAGCTCCTCTGTGTACTCGTGGTTTTGTGCGAAAACCGGAGCTCTCTGAACACTCTCTCTATTGTGTTTATGCTCGTTGTGGTGTGTTTAGAGGGGCTGGGGAGGCGGCTATTTATAGGAGCCGAACCCCTAGGAATATACCCTCTTGCTTGGGGAATAAGTCGGATTAATTAAGGAAGATAATTAATTCCTTAATTAAAACCGTCGGTTAGGATAAATCCTGCTGGGATTATCCTTCGAATATTCCTTTTCAATCGATTATCCCTTAGAATATTCCTCAGAATAACCGATTAATAATTAATTATTAAATAATTAATTTCGTTCGGAATTTCTCCAAAAAATATGTATATAGTCTCAAGTGATCCATCCATCCAACCAACCAACCAACCAACCGACCGACCGACCGGCCGGTCGGACGGCGCGCGCGTGTGTGGTGGTCCGTTAGGTCCTCCCTCTCCCACAAAAGTGGGTCACCCCAAGGGGCATGCCCTTAGGAGAGAGGCTCCTATCTTTATAATCACTTCACCAAGTAAAACTACCAATGTGGTAGTTTTTCCACTTGAGACTCTATAGCTTTCAAAGCTATTCATACACATTTCCAATAATCCCCCACTTGAATAGTTTTGAAACTATCTCTGAGCATCAACAGTTCCATAAGATCGGGCATAAGCTAAGGTATCGCGAAGATTTGAACCTTAGCGTAGTGGTTACACTTCCGATTTCATAAGGGTGACTCGTAGTCTTGAACCCTATCTCAGACAGTGTAGCACACCGGATCTTTTCATTGAGTTGTGTTCTCTTCTTAGCCCGTGCGTTTATGGCCTTGCACGTTATCCTGGTTTAGTGAACGCTCTAGCAACTTTGTGCCTCTCAAAGTTCCATAGGGAGCGGCCCCACTCCCACATTCACATAGGTGAGTCTATCAGGAGTACCCCCAAAGTAAAGTACTCCACCCCACATAGGGTATAGATCTCATTAAGAGTTATTAACTCAACCTCCATTGCTTTGGGATTCATGCTTCATTATGCATGAACTTTTCGCATACTACTCATGACTTGTTATTACCCATTGAACCCATTTCTTGGGATCTCCAGTCTATTGGGTCGGGTTACCATCACTTGTAGTCCGTGGTTCGGTAGGCATAAGTCCCATACCCTTGGCGGTATTCTGGACTTTCTCTCTAGGTAATCCTTTCGTCAAAGGATCAGCTAGATTCTGTTCGGATCTTATATGATCCACCCTCACTGCTCCTATCGTTAGGAGTTCTCTAACAGTACCGTGCTTACGACGAATCTGTCGTTTCTTTCCGTTATAGAATCGGTTCTCGACTTTAGCGATAGCTGCGGTACTATCACAATGTATCAATACCGGAGGGACCGGGCTTTCCCATAAGGGAATCTCTGACAACAATCCTCTCAACCAACTTGCTTCTTCACTAGCCGTTGCTAGTGCAATCATCTCTGATTCCATAGTTGATTGAGCTAGGATTGTTTGTTTCTTTGACTTCCAAGACACAGCTCCACCAGCGATGTTAAAAACATATCCGCTGGTTGCCTTGGAGTCATCTGATAGGGTATTCCAATCCGCATCACTATACCCTTCTAGTACAGCGGGAAACCTTTGATAGTGTATACCAAGGTTTGCTGTTCTCTTGAGGTATCTCATGACCCTCTCTATAGCATTCCAATGCTCTCTACTAGGACAGCTGTTAAACCTGCCTAGAAACCCCACGACATATGCAATGTCTGGTCGAGTGTAATCCGCAGCATAACGGAGACTGCCAATGATGCTAGCATATTCTGTTTGTCTTACACTGTCTCCAGTGTTCTTGAATAGCTTTACACTAGCATCATACGGAGTACACGCAGGTTTACAATCGAAATAGTTATACTTCTTCAAGATCTTCTCTATGTAACTAGATTGATCTAGAGAATAACCATTTGCTGTTCTAGTTATCTGGACTCCAAGCATAAACTTTGCTTCTCCCAGATCTTTCACCTCAAAGCTCTCTTTTAACATGGCTTTCGCTTCATTGACCACGTGAATATTTGTACCAAATATCAACATGTCATCTACATACAAACATATGATAGTGCAAGTGTTATTCTCTGACTTGCAGTAAATACACTTGTCACTTTCATTCACCTTAAAGCCATGTGAGAGAACGAGAGTGTCAAACTTCTCATGCCACTGTTTTGGAGCCTGTTTCAAACCATATAATGATTTGTCCAACTTACAGACTTTCGAGGCATGTTCAGGGATAACAAACCCTTCTGGTTGTTCCATATAGATTTCTTCATCTAGATCACCGTTCAAAAAAGCAGTCTTAACATCCATTTGGTGTACCACGAGATTGTTCAAGGCAGCAAGAGCAATCATGACACGAATGGATGTTATTCTAGATACTGGTGAATAGGTGTCGAAGAAATCTATATTCTCTCTCTGCCTGTAGCCCTTGACTACTAGGCGAGCTCAGAACCTTTCGATTGCACCATCAGGTTTCCGTTTCGTTTTTAGAACCCATTTATTACCTAAGACTTTGCAGCCAGGAGGTAAGTCTGTTAGATGCCAAGTCTTATTAGCCTCTAATGATTCCATTTCGTCTATAACGGCCTCATTCCAAAAGTCTGCATCTATGGAAGTTAGTGCTTCCTGCAAACTTTTTGGATCCTCTAGGGTGTATACTGTAGTAAAGTCATCACCAAAATCTTTAGAGATTCTAGCTCTTTTACTTCTTCTGAGTTCATCCTCAGATCCAACACCCCCACTTGTTCCGTTATCTCTAATAGCGGGTAGTACATTACCCCCACTATTTCTCGTTATTAGGAGGAGATAGTGATCGAGAGATCAAATAAAGTGAGAAAATTTCGTAAACTCTAGTTCTTAAATCGTTCAATATAATGTGAGGTTGCAACAATTTTTTCGTAATGTCCGTGTACGTAGGGCAGTAAAACGGTGCGTTCTGGTCTATGGTCCAGACTGAGAAGCTGGAGTATAGACCATAGACCAGACCAAAGACTATACTGTTCAGTCCAGACCACGCCTGTGTGGTCCGGTCTAGTCTAGATAGACCACACTCAACGGAAAATGAACAATTTGTTTTGTCAACCACACAAAAAATTGAATCAATAACCAAGAAAGTTTTTTTTATTATTGCCTTAAAAAATTATTTCTAACATGCATGAATAATTTTGACATCCAACTTGTACCATAACGTCATAAACATAAACATAATTTCACTTGGAAACACGATTATCTCTACTATCTAGTGAGATATGGTTGTGAATGAAGGAGGAGACGAGATTCTCAAAATTAAGGTTGAGACTTGGGTTTTATTGTAGGAGTTGGGAGAGTGATCGAATGGGCTATTAACACGTATTGAAAAGTTGATTGGGTCCATAGTTTGGTGCAGTAAACCGCGGTCCTGACCAGACCAGACCAAGATATTAGAACATCAAATAATACAGACCATGGACCAGACCAGACCATACTTAACAGTCTACAGTTCGATTTGGATCATGATTTTCTGACTATTTGGTCTATTTTCCCAGCCCTACTTATACGACCACAATCTTACAATATTTTTTTTTTTTTGTCTATCAATTAGAGGTGGCAATTAGGATCCAAATCCATGAATCCAATCCAATCCATCCACCAAATTATCCACCTAATCCAATCCATTTAAATCCAATCCATTTGATCCAAATCCAATTGGATTGGTGGATTCATGGATCAATCCATGGATCCAAATGACAAATTACGATTTGGTACCTATATTTTTTATATTTTACATTTTGGTACCTAAAATTTATATTTTTATACGAAAAATATAATTGGAAAATTACGTTTTGGTACCTAAAATTTTTCATTATGACATTTTAGTACCTAAACTTTTCAAAATTTACATTTTGGTCCAAACCTTGGATGTTATTTGGATTCATGGATCAATCCACCAATCCATTGGATCCAATCCATGAATCCACCAATCCATTGGATCCAATCCATTTGATCCATGGAGCCACGAATCCAATCCACGAATCCACGAATCCGATCCAATTGCCACCTCTACTATCAATATTAACTTCCTTCTAAAAGCGTATTAAGATGATAGTTTTGGATTTCGTACACTCTTTATTACATTTCCCATTCTGCCTTAATTTTAGATCTGGATATTTATCCATTGACAAGTAAAAACTAACCTATGGGCATAGTCGCATAGAGTGTTAAATAGTTGACCTATTTGTCCAAAACATTGATAAATAACTATCTCCTGAACCTCACATTATGCTTCCTTTGTTTACATTCATAGAAATCATATAAAAGAATCAAATTTTTTCCTAAAAAAAAAAAAAGAATCAAATTTTTTCCTAAAAAAAAAAAGAATCAAATTTTTTGAACCTAGAACTTTTCCTAATTACAAAGTATACAAAAAACAATAAAAGAAATAATTTTCTCTTAGTGCTTGGGCCTGATTTCGATGCCATGGACAATAAGCCCAGCTTTCAAATGGTGGCCCTTCACTTCTTTCAAGCCCATCTTCACTTCCTCACTCTTTTCGCCGCTAAAGAACTCACCAATCTCAATTTCCAACCAACCGTCTTCCCTCTCCGCCGGCAACCTCCCTTCTCCCCCACCGCCGGCCACCATCGACTTCAGCGCTTCTGTCCGGTGTCCATACATCAACGTTTCCATAAACTCCACGTGGCTGTTTTTCCGTCGCCGTAAGTACGCCGTGTTTAGGCATTCTTCTTTGTTACCCACTTGAACCGATACTTCGGATGGCATCAAATCGAGACCAAAAGCTCGGCCGGAAATTTTCATTACGAGGTAGGCTCCGTATTTGGTGTTGGGAGTTAGCATTTGGGTGTTGATCTTGCCTTGGATCTCGAGCCACGACATTGTTCGGAGCACTGCAACTTCCGAGAATCTGAAAAGAACAAGTGATTGCCATGTCAGAAACTACGAGCAACGATCCAAATTGGCAAAAAGTTCATTTCTTTTTTAGTTTCAAAATTTTGTTCACAGAAAATTTAGCGTCTGTTTGTTTCCCGAGAAAAACATTCCCTACCTTGATTCGGGAAGCGAAGTCCAAGTCCAGTACATCGATTCACTGCTCCAAGTTATGGAAAGATCTCTGGCCGACAATTCGTAACATTTCTTCCCGGACAATTTCTCCAGCTTCAACCTCTGCAAATCCAGAAGAAGAAGCAAATTAATCGCTGAACAGAAACCATTTAGTGAATTCCTTCAATCCAATTAGTAGATAGAAAATAAATTTACAAAAAAGCCTACCTTTCGGCCGCCGTCGACGAGAACAGAGTCGCAGAGCTTGCGGTAGAGCTCCTTCTTGGAGGAGAATTCAAGGCCCGGAACGGAGTCGGCGACAATGCGGTGGTAATCGGAAGGGAGGAACTTCTCCCAGACGACGTCGGAGTCGGCGGCGGATTGAAACTCGGGGGAGACCTTGGACGAGCGGCAGGCGTCATGTGGGGAAGTGAAGCAGAGGATCGAGGAGAGACAATCTTCCGGCAGCGCCTTGATCAACTCCATTTCTTGTTTCTATTTATATTTCGTCGCTAAAAAAGTCAGAAATATGGTCCCTAAAAATGATTAGTGAGGTGGAGATAAGGGAATATGGAGAACAGAGAAGGGTCTTTGGGTTTGAAAGCAGGGGATGGATTGAATTGAATTTGGATAAATGGGGTTTCTTTGAAGTATTTATAGCAGTAGCTGGAGAGAGAGAGAGAGAGAGAGAGAGAGAGAGAGATAATGAAAGAATTGGGAAGGTTCATACTTCATTGGTCAAAGCAAGGCAGCTCCTCCAAGTGGGAATTTTTGTAGTGGAAGATTTCTTCTTTTATTTTTTTTGTTGTTCTTTTTGTTTTGTTTTTAATTTTTATTTTAGAATTACTTTCTTGTTTTATAATAAACTACTATTTTTTAATGTGACAGAGAGTGAGCTTAAAGGGTTGAATTTATATATCCTAAATCAACTTGTTGATTGAGTGGGATTTTAGGAGGATGTAGTCTACAATTTCCATATGATATGCTTTTCCTAATATGCCTTGATGTGTATGGGGCATGTGTTAATTAATCAAATCACCACACAAGAAAAAAAAAGGGATTTGCAACAAGTATCCCACTAATCATATTAGGAGAGACTAAACCATATTTCGGACCACCATGGACAAGAGACCACTGTACTTATTACATGTTTTAATTTGTTTTGGTTTCATATACAATCCAAATTGTAGTGTCATTTGGAATTACATCTTTCGTTTCGTAATTCTTTTAATGTATTTGTCTGATTGTGAATCACGATCTATTCAACATATATTCTGATCTTCAGTAGTGCAATCACCATATAAGACTATAATTTTAAGTAATTATCTCTTTCAATGCATGCACGAGTCATGATGAACAAGTACGTCTGGGAGTTTCATAAATACCTTCTATGTACAATGTATCCAATTGAGGAAAGCAAAACAATGAAATGTAACTTGAAATAAGAATTGAGATATTAATTAGTTACGTGTCTCTTGTTTAGAACAGGAAATTAATTAGTGGCTTTCTTGATCAATTCCATGAAATTATGGATATCACTTATAAGTTGATGAATTCCATCAAAATATTTTTAAGTAGAAGTCCCAAATTTATGGACCACAAAAACGACATTGTAGATTATCTTTCTGGCAAACCAAACAACATTATGAAATATGGCCAGATATACAGAGATATATATGTTTAGTATTTATTTAAAGGATACTTATCATTAAATCCTCCCTATTATAAATGGAAAAGGTTAGGTACAAATCTTAGAACCGTAAAACCTACAAATATGGTGTTTTACCACCCATAATACAACTCATACCAACATGATATGATCAATTTTTCTTCTTCATTGAATTAGTTGCTTTGTATTAGGGGTGGGCATTGGGTGGGTCAGGTGGATTTTGACCATAAAATGCACCCACCCGCGCTTAAACGGATTGATAATTTTTAACCCACCACCCACCCACATTTAGTCTCGGGTTGGGTCGGGCGGATGGTGGATGATGCGGGTGGATTTGTGGGTTCACCCACATCACAATGTATATATAATAAAGGAGTCAACTTGACATGATAATATGTGAAGAGAATCATCGAGGGAAACAAGAAGTTGAAATAGGGCGAAAAATGTCGAATTAGTTCTTAAATTGGATAGAAATTCTATTATGAAAGAGTTTTCTACAGATTGAGGCAATTATTAGGTGCAAGAAACTAAGGAAAATAATTCCACAAAGGAAAGAGTGGTGATCTAGGCAGAAGAATTAGAGGAAAAAGTAAAGGGAATAAGAGGGGATCTCTATTTGGAAGGTTGGCTTTGAGGTTCAAACTCCAGGAGCAGTCCGAGTTTATATGTAACTTCTCCACTCTCCTCTCTCTAGCGCCAACGACTTTGATCTTTTTGCTGTTGGGTTGAGCGGGTCATCCGCACACTCACCCACAACCCACCCACAACCCGGCGGATGGCTCCCCAGCGCAACCCGTCACCCACCCACAGACCCACCCACTTAACAAAATTCGGGTCAAATGCGGGTGGGTCGGCCCAAAACCGCGGATGATCCGCCCGCATGCCCAGCCCTACTTTGTATTACCAAACTATATGCAATGTACATTTAGGAACCAATACAACGAAAGGAAAGCTCAAGGTGTGCAGCCCTATGAAACAATGATTATATAGTTAAATTGATTGAAAGACTGAAAGAGCCAAATAGTTAAATTGATTGTCCTGATCGATCGATGACAAATATCCATTATAGTTACCGTACATAATAACCTTAACCATCACATACGTTAATGTTTTTTTTATCATTCTCATATGGATTTCGTCTGCCGAAAAAGGTCAAGGAGAAGGCGGCGGAGCGGTGGAAGAACTCCCTTATAGGGCAGTTCGTAGGGACTCGACCAAAGATACCAGAGCTTCAGTCTTGGGCAAATGCTCTTTGGGGGCGAGATGGCATAGTCAGAGTGTCAAAATTTGGAGCGAAGCTGCTAGTGTTTCAGTTCCTTCCGCTGCTTTGTGCAATTGGGTTTTCCAGTTGGGGCCTTGGCACTTCAGAGGTAATCCGATTTTCTTTCGAAAATGAAAATCAGGTATCAAACCAATTGTTCCTAAGGTCGAAACTCTGCCGATCTGGGTAAGAATCTGGGGACTCCCTCTAGAATATCTTGCTCCGGAAGGTTTGGAATGGGTTGCAAGCATGATTGGGCGTCTGTTCTGGATAGATCAGAAGAAGAGGGTAGGGGGCAGTTAGGTTTTGCTCGTGCATGTGTTGAGCTTGCTGTTGACTATTCTTTCCCGTCTTCTATTCGTATTTACCTAGATGAAGACCCTCCGTTTGATATTCAAATTGAGTATAGAAATCTTCCATAGGTGTGCATTAAATGTTGTGTGTTTGGACATAACTGTGAAGTGGGTCCTAAGTGTGTGTGGGTTCCTAAGACTCCCAAGTAGGGGTGGGCAACGGGATGGAACGGGATACCCGTCCCGTTTGGAGACCAAAGTCCATCCCATATCCCAAACCCATATGGGAAACGGGTACCTATTTCCCGTACGGGACGAATAACGGATACCCATACTACCCATAAATACCCAAAGTTTAAACCACTAAAATTTTAACAAAAGTTTAAACTTGTATTTGCTTAACAATCACAAGACACAAAATACATCCCAATCACAAATACTCGGTTTGCAAATAACACATTCATGAACAATCACAACACATAGAAACAAATCATTCCAAGCACCAAATTATCAAATAAGAAGTTTCATTCAACACAACCAAATGGGAGGCATGCTGCTACTTTTCTTGTGTTGTTGAATGCAGAAAGTGTCCAAATTTTTAGGTTCATGGGAAGCTAAAATCTATAGCAGAGAAGCCGAGTCTCACTGATAAGGTAAGGGCCCTAGGCCCAAATGGCAAATGGAATTGAAATTGTAAGAGTGAGGGCTGAAATGGCCAGGGTTCTGAATTGGGCTGGACTGCTTTTGTATTGAATAGGTATAACGGGCACCCATATTACCCAAACAGGTATTTGCGGGTAACCCACGGGTACCCATGTTAGGAATGTACAATCCCAAGTCCCATCCGTTTATAATATTACGGGTAATATGGGTACCCGTAACCCTTAAAAAACGGGACAGGTACGGTTATACCCAAATACCCGTTTCCCGTTGCCCACCCCTACTCCCAAGATTAACGAGGCTACTCAAGAAGAGAAGTCAGATGATAGTGTGGAAGCTGTTGAGAACAATGAGGTTGATTTTGTTGAAGATATTCTTAACCAGGTTCAAGCAAGTGTTATTCAGAGTGTATTAGACAGTCCGACTATGAAGTGGTAGCTCAGACACATGTGGACGAGCCATTACAGTTTGCTTCTATTGTGGAGGATGTTGTCTCCCCTACATTACAGACTGCCTCTATTGTGGAGGATACTGTCTCCCCTTCATCAAATTGGGGGGGGGGGGGCTCGAGTTAGCTTTGCAGAGATTGTGAAGGGGTCATTAGCTACAATTGGGAGCCCTAGCACACCTTCGCAAAAGTCCGTTGGTACTAAGTCGTCTTCAGTTGAAGGGAGCTTAAAACCTCAGACGACTGCTCGAGCTGAACAGACTGATTCCCGCTTTGCAATTCTGGATAAGGAAAATAGAATTCCCCCAAGTGTTGCAGACAAAGGTAATAAGATATGGATTGATCCTCCAGATGTTAGAGATAACAGAAAGAAAGGGGGGAAAGGTGGTGGAAGAGGTAAGGGTCGTAAATGAAGATTCTCTCATGGAATACTAGAGGATTTGTTGTGGATAAAAAATATACAGCTATATTAAATAAAAGGAAAAATACACTTGTATAGCCAAAACTTTGACGGTTTGGCCAAACATAGCCACTTTTGACGAAATACCAAAAATAGCCACTTCCGTCCAATTTTTTGACGGTGTGAGTTAACGTGCTGACTAGACTAACAGAAAAGCTGACATGTCAAACTTTTATTCAATAAAAATATGAGCTGGAATTAATTAAAAAAATCATAATAAAATAATTCATTATTTATTATTTTCTCTCCCTCCCCTCGGTTCTTTCTCCTTCCCTTTCCCCAACCGCCGCTCATCTTCTCGGATTACTCCCTCCGTCTCGTTCTCACCACCGCTGTTGAGGAACCGTGCTCAATTCTCAATCTTCTCCCCCGCCGCCATCAAGGACGGTGCTCAATTCTCAAGGACGGCGATCGTGACTTCTCCAACGACTTCCAGCTCTCGATTGGTGGCGAAACTTATGAACAATCCGCTGCCCCCGCGTAAGTGGCCTGTGATGGCTCCGCCAGCTCCGGCCTAACATCGGAAGCGAATTGGGCGTTGGACGACTCAAAGGAGAATCGCGGGTCGGATGTGAAGCACCCATTAAAATCGAAGACCAAATCTACAATGAACCGATTCCCATCTCCGACCTCACTTCTATGGCGCTTCGTCTCCTACCCTTCCCGAATCACACAAGGCGGTAGTAGGTCGAGTT